ATTGTTTTATCTATCTCCCAAGTAACCCAGAAGGCAAATATTATTATTCCCGTTTCTACAGTTGAGGAAACAAAAACTCGGCAATGTGAATTGACTTGTCCAAGTCACAGAGCTGGCATTCGGGGTTCCGGGAGGCACACGAACAAATGGCCTGTCTGCTGCCCTCCCCTGTCTTCTTTCCGTCAGGCCATGCTGCCCTATCTAAGGAAAACCCAGGAAATGATCCTTCTCCAAGCAATAGAAATGTTCTTTCCAAGTCAATGAAAGGGATAGACGGAGCTGGACAATCAAGAGAAGGAAAGAGAAGTGGAGGGTCAGAGTGGAGGACGGGGCAAGCTGAGGGCAGGGTCAGGGCGGAGACGTCAGCTGCACCCAGCAGGTGAGCCGCAGTGCAGGAAGCCAAAGTCACACCAAGGTCCACATTTTCCAGCAGATACTAGATGGCCAAGGCAGCAAACGCAGCCACGTGTCACTCTGTGTCCTGGACTGTGCCCTAAGGGTGCGTAAGACACAGGCCTGCCTTACAGGTGCTTCTAACCTTGCGTAGGGGGCAGATGTGCAGGCACCCAGGATAGATCTCGCCTTGCCTTAGCAGTGGTAAGTACCCAGAACTGGGAGCAGAGATGAGGAAGCTGTTTGTGTGGGTGGGAGAAGGCTCACAGGAGAGGCTCATCCCAGGTGGCTTTGAAACGAGGTAACTCCTTCACCATGAAGGCAGGAGGAGCATCCAGAACTGAATCACAGAAACAGAAACTAGCAAGGTGTGTGCCTGAGACATGGACAAGGGCCCTTCATAGACTCCCGAGACGCGGGGATCATCACATCCTCACCCACTGTCTCCTTCCCCCCAGGGCTGAGGTTCTACCTGTTAGCTCTGAGTCTTCACATGGTGCTCATCTGCAGTGGTCTAGGAATGGTTCTGCCAGGTTCGCCCCAGCTCCTCCATCATTTAACGGTGGAATTCGATTCTGGTTCTCGCTCCCCACTGCCCACAGCTCCGTGCAGCCCGCATACGACGCGGATCTCTGTTCTGTGTTAGGGTTCCAAATTGTAAAATTTTATATAAAGCACTTTCTTCTGGCCTCTATATCCCTTTCCTGATCACCGCAAATGAAAAGTTTAAAGCGAGCAAAGCTGAATTAATTTCTTAAGGAGTTCGGGAAGGCTGTCTTTGAGCTGGGAAAGCAGCTTCCACTAACATACTTGGAATTCTAGGTGTTTCATCGAAGCCTGGAAATTTTTTTCAACCTGCACAGAACCTTTATACTGTTGTCTTTAAAGCAGCTACTCAGTTTTATTTTAATTAGCAAAGACTTTAGCAGGTTTTAAACAATAATTTATCTTTATGAAAGAAAAATAGGGCAGAAACACTCTAAATCTACTTATTGGAATAAACTGAAGAGTCATTAAGTCCTTTCCAACAAGATTTAGACAGTTCATTAGAATAAATGTATATTTCATCTCCCTCTTTCTATATCATCTTAAACAACAGAGCAAAGGTACAATGCTTGAATAATGACACACAGCCTGAAAATATTCTAAATATATTGAAATCACTGCAGTTCCTTTCACTTTGCATCGTTTCAAAACGTTTATAATTTGTATGGTGTGCCTATTAAAGGCTGTCTAACAGCCAGGAACAGGACAGCACTCAGGAATTTATTGCTTTACCTAGATTCAGATTGTGCCCAAACCCTGTGAAGTTATGACTAACCAATCAGAGGATTTCACACGAGTCCAAGCTGAAGTAACTTCTTGAAAGTTTAAGCTAATCCTCATTCTTATGAAGTAATTCATTCAATTTAGATTAAAAGTACTCTTCTTTCCTGAAAGTTAACTGGTTTTAATAACGGATGTAGTCCCTATTCTATTTGGTATTTAAAAGATGTTCAAAAAGAAACATAAATAACTTTAAACAACCCAGACCTAAGCCATTTAAAGAGACAGCAGACGTAATTTCTATGTCTTTCTCATCTAGAGTCTGGGGCATCCATTGGGTAAATCCTTTGATCGCTGCCTTTATCCCAGAACAAGGGCAGGTGCATGATTCTTACGTCTGTCCTGGCTACCTAGCTCCCAGCCATGTTCTACCTCCCACAGCCTTCGTTCCTCAGAGCTCTGGTGCTGACCTCAGGGCTACAGAAGGAGATCAATTTCCAGACCTAATCCCAGAAAGTATATACAGTGATGTAGCATATGCTTAGATTCATTCTTCAATTTCTTGAATCACAAAATATTGGTGCTAAGAAGTATCTTAGAAGTTATCGGTTTCAAACTCTCCATGGTAGGGTAAGCCCCTGAGTCATTAAGTGACTTTCTCAAGGTCACACAGCTAGTGACACAACTGGGCCTGTTACCAGCCACTTCCTCTGGGCGCGTGCTCCAATCCCTGCTGCTCAGTGAGGTCTGCAGACCAGCAGTATCAGCATTGCTTCAGAGCTTGTTAGCAGGGTAGGCTTTCAGGCTCCACCCAAGACCCTTTAAAGCCGAATGTGTGTTGTAACAGATCTTTCTCTGTGTCACTCGGGCTGCGGTGGTGCACTGACAAGCACAGCTCACTGCAGCTCGAGCTGTCTTCCCACCTTAGCCTCCAAGCAGCTGGTGTTGCAGGCACACACTACCACACCTGGCTAATTTTTTTTTATTTTTCATTTTATGTAGAATAGGGATCTTGCAAAGCTGCCAGGTCTGGTCTCAAACTCCTGGACTCAAGCAATCTTCCCAACTAGGCCTCCCAAACTGCTGGGATTAGAGGCATGAGCCGCCACCGCTGGCCCAAATCTTGAGGTCATTCATGTGCACATTACAGAACCGCAGCCAAGCCAGGCGCATCGTCACGGATCTGCAGCCCCAACCACTGCGGAAGCTGAGGAGGCGAGATTTCTGAACCCAGGCATTTGAGGCTGCAGTGAGCTATGATTGTGCATGTGAATAGCCCTGCATTCCTGCCTGGGAAATATGGCCGTTCTCGTCTCTAAAGGACACATTTTTAATTTAAAAACTAAAATAATTGAAGGCAAGTAGATGTTGGGTTGAAGCATGGTTCTGCCTCTTCTAAATGTAAGCAAAAATCTCAAAATCCTGAAAACATCATTTAGAACCTGGAAATAACATCACTACCCACCTTGCAGAGTTTTCATTGTATAAAGCACAACATAGATACATGCAAATGCATTTCATGAAGTATGTATGCACGTAAGTATCTGGCATATAGTTGCTGATATGTTATATAGTAGCTAATCTGATATGGGATATAGTAGCTAATCTGATATGGGATATAGTAGCTAATCTCTGATATGGAATATAGTAGCTAATCTAATATGGTATATAGTAGCTATTCTAATATAGTATATAGTAGCTA